TCTGGACCCGCTGCTGGCCAAGGCCGAGCCAGTCAGGAATGTTGGTAACACCTCTGTGATAACATATTTAAGAAGGAAAAAAAAGGTATTGCCAGTGGTAATTGTGGCCAGAGAGAAGCAGAGTAAGATTGTGTGGGAGCAACAGCTCTGCAGACACCAAAGTCAGGGGAGAAGAAGTGAGGGAGGAGATTCCAGCTCCAGGTGCTGGAACTGAGGTTCCCCTGCAGCCTCTGGTGAGGTGACTGTGCCCCTGCAGTTCACAGAGGTAGATGGCAATGCAGAGATCCCCCTGCACCCCGTGGAGAGCACGACGATGTTGGAAAGGGATCTGTGAATCTGTGGGAGGCCTGTGCTGGAGCTGGCTCCTGGTGGGGACCTCCAGACCTGCGGAGAAAGGAGCCCCTGCTGGAGCAGTTTCCTGCTAGGACTTGTGATCCTGTGTGTGATCCATGCTGGAGAAGCCTGTCCTGGGAGGCCTACACCTTGTGGAAGAGTGACTCACATTGCAGCAGTTTGTGCAAACTGATGCCCATGGGATGCACTCACATGGGGGAAGTTTATGAAGGACTGTCTCCCATGGGAGGGACCCCACAGTGGAGCAGCAGAAGGACACCTCTCCCTGAGCAGCAGCAGAAACAACATGGGATAAACTGATCAAAACATCCATTCCCTGTCTCCCTCCACTGGTGGGGGAAGGAGGTATAGCTGGGAAGGAGGGAGGGATGGAGGGATGGTGTTTTTGATAGTCTGATTAGCTGAGGGAAGATGTTTTAACAGAAGTCCAATTGATTGCTCGTTATCCTGTTCTGATTTTGTTATAAGTAAATTTTGTTAGTATCCCCAATTCAGTTCTGTTTGGCCCATGATAGAATTTGGTGAGTGGTACCTTATCTCAGCTCGTGATTCTTTGTTACATTTTCTCTCTCCTGTCCGGTTGTGGGAGTAGCAGAGCAGCTTTAGTGAGTGCCTGGCATCCAGACAGGGTCAGCCCACTAAAACAAGAAGTGTTCTTCTGATGACATGCTAATTTGTATTCAGCAAACCTTGCATGATCATGCTGGATTATTTTAAACCCCTGGAGTGATCAGCAGTGGCTCCTGCCACCTTCCCACAAGGACAGCACACCTGTCTGTGGAGCACTTGTAGCTCTGACCTGTGCTCTGATGGCAACTGGAACACTTCATGCCTGGAGCTGCCTCAACTTTTGGATTTTTACTGTATCCCAGTGTAATGAGGACAGTCACATTTAAAAAAGCTTGCTCATGATTCCTTCTCTGTTCTGGTCCTTTTTAACATCTACATGTGGCCTTTCCTGGAAGAGCCTCTAACCTATTACAAATAAGTTGAAAAATGAGCAAGGAGGAATTAAATTATTAGTGTCCCATTTGCTGGAAGTTTGAGATAAAGTGTACTATGTTTCCAGACTTACTGGTCTCCCAAGTGTGTGGCTGAGTTGCCTTTTCCAAAGATTATAACTGAAAATTGTAGTTCAGTTAGAAGGTTAGTTATGCTTTTATTATATTTTTCCTATCTTAGGCTGGTACTGGTGGAAGATACTTCAGCCACTTGGGAACTTGGGTCGATGGAACTCCTTTCTGAAAGTTTGCCTTCCACCAGGATTTCCCCCCAGATCAGGGAGAGGAGAAGGTGGAGGCAGGAGCTGCTGGCACTCAGCTTGCAGCACTGGGAGCTTTTGCCCCATAAGGATGACTGTTGTCTGGTCTCTTAATAGGCAAAGTTGATTTCCCTTGCCCTAGCAAAGCAGAGAATTTCAGTGAGGCTTCTTTGCCTGTGACTGTGTCTTGAGAGTACATTAGCTTTGAGGAGAAATTATTTAATGTCATCTGGCTCTGGCGTGGTTTGACTTCCTTGTTTGATTTGCTTCCCTTATGCATTGTAGCTTTCTTTAATGAGTGGGTTAACAAATACATCTTTAAGGAGAAAAGTTTTATCATTGTACACCTAATCTTTCTTCTGGAAAACTGGGTAAGTGTACTCACTCTAAAAGGCTATGTCTGTGTGTGGCATTGTAAGTTGGAGTTTGGACTATTGCTTTCCCAAATCCCAAATGTGATTATCTGGTGAAATAAAAGGTCCCAGTGAAGGCAAACGCTGCCACCAGAAACTCCATTAAGACCTGTGTCTTGGAAGTGGCCCATCCTGACACTAATTACTGTCTCTTGTATGGTTGTGGGTGTTTGATCTCTGAAAGGACATAATTCGGTCTGTTATGTGGAGTGGCAGAAATGGAATTATCTATTATTGTCACACAAATGCTATCCTGATTACAATTGTAATTGTAACAATGTGTTACAGTTAACAGCTTTTAAAAAGCTACTGAAATAAAATTGAAATCCTTTCTGAATTCCTGTAGCTTGTGCTGCTGACTGCTTCCCTCTCCCTTCCCATTAATGCCAGTAGCCCCAATAGTTACTGCTACAAGCTACTTGGTGAATTATTTATGGCAGTTTAAATTGGAAGCTGTTTGCAAGTGGAAGTGAATGAATGCTGAATTCTATTGCTTTAAGAATTTGAACCAAAATATTTATTTATGCAGGGCAATAAATTACATAGGAGTAATGAAATATCTTGTTTGAGATATTTCTACACATCTTATTTGCTATATTTGCTGTTGCATTCAGTGTTTGGATTATTGCAGGCTTTTAGAGTTTGTCAGGTAATACCTATAGCACAAATAGAAGTCAAAGAAATATATTTTTTAATTTGCCAAGGAAACGTATGTACACAGACACACACATAATTTCCCAGATTGAGCTGTGGCTGATTAAGTGGTTTTCTCATCTGATGCCAGATAGGTGAGACCTTCCTAACTCTTCTGTCATTTCCTTCCTTCAAGTGTCCTGAATATCAGCTGTTCATATAGATGAGTACTGTGGCTATCTGGATCTCCTGGGAGATGTGTCTGAGATAATTCTGAAAGTTTCTTGGTCCCTGGCTTAAACTAATTTTCTTTATATTTTAATATTCATCCCAGCTGTCTATGATTTTTAAAGAGTAGTTAATTCTGTTTCCTGGCTCAGTTTCTTGATTGAAATTTAAATAAAAACTCACCCACCACATTCTTCTCTGCTAATTTATGAAAAAACGTTTTTGAGAGCAGAATAATTATGTAATTACATCAGTTGGAGTCTGTTCTGTGCAGTTTAAGCTTGACGTCTACAGTGGTGACTGAGGGCGAATAAGTGGCTGTCCAGACTGGCCAAGAGTGGGTAGGGCTTCATCACTGGCAGTTCTCACAAAACACACACACGGGATTATTCAGTGTCTGCCTTAGGCATTTGCTGGTCTGTGGAACCCCAAATGCATTATTCCTGTCACATGTGCTAAATACATTATTCCTGTCACACGTGGGTTTATTGCTCCTTTCATTTGTGCTGTGTTGGGATCAGTTAAGCAGTGGAGTTGGCACTGACATCTCTTCCCATTATACTTAAAATCTCTGACAGTTAACTCCTCTAAGAGAATATCTTCATGGAAAAGTGCATCATATGCGAGTTACATATATCAATGGGCTAAAAATTAAATAGAATAGTGCAGATTTTTAATCTTTTCTTCCTCTTAAAATGGAAAGGTCTTTTTCTGCAAAATTCTGGGTGACTGAGGAATTCCTTTCCCCTATCTTTTTTTCTATATGTTAAATGGGAGGAGTGCAATAAAATGGATTATGTTTGATGCCTTGGGAGACAACTCTTTCCTTCATAAGGAGAAGAGTCTTTGGAAGAAAGCACGGAAGGGCAAACAAAGTGTCACAAGGAGGGCGGCAAAGATGCTGGTGAAGGGTCTGGAGGGGAAGCCATATGAAGAACATCTGAAGTCACTTAGTCTGTTCAGCCTGCAGGACACTGAGGGAAGATCTCTGCCATCTACAACTTCCTCATGAGGGAAAGAGGAGGAGCAGGCACTCCTCTTTGTGGTGCCCAGTGACAGATTCGAGGGAATGGCCTGAAGCTGTGTCACGGGAGGTTTATGTTGGACATTTCAAAAGGTTCTTCACCCAGAGGGTGGTTGGGCACTGGAAGGGCTCCCTGGCAAAGTGATCACAGTACTGAGCCTGAAAGAGTTAAAGAACCACTTGAACAATGTTCCCAGGCACCTGATGGGACTCTTGGGGCTGTGCTGTGCTGTGCAGGGCCAGGAGCTGGACATTGATGACCCTTGTGGGTCCCTTCCACCTTGGCATATTCTGTGATTCTGAAAGACCAACATTGCTGAGCACATCTGAAGGCTCATACAGATCTTGGGATCTTTAGTCCTCAAAGATATTTTGACATGTGGGGTTTAATTTCCTTCTTCATTAGGAACCTTATGGTTAAAATGATGTTGCATGAGAATGTGCATCTTTTCCATATGCTCTGTTACGCATTTCTGATATGCCCACTCTCTTTATTATGACTTTAAATCATTTGTTTACTATATGCAGTGTTGCCTGTTAGCAGAAGTCATAATGCTGGGGTTTGGACTGTATGTAGCAGTATTATGTGTGTGTTATATGCCTCAATTGCTGATAAAAATAAAGATCAAAAGTAGCAGTTAATTCCTCAGGGAAAACAGATCAGATTGTGTTGATAGAAGCCTGCCCTAGATTCATGAATGAAGTATTGACTCATTGGTAGTTGATTCAGAAAAGTTTGGGTTTTTTTACCCATGAGTTAGGTACTGTGCTTGTTTACAATGTCAGGTTATTTGCAAACAAAATAAAGATTATCCCTTTCATAAGAGGAAATTATATGTGCTATTTTAAATTTGTTGACGGTTTTCACACTGGTGAATAATGTGACTGAATGGCACATGGGCAATTCTAACAAAAGAGAAATGCAGAATGGCACTAAATTACATCAGGAAAAAAACACATAGGCCTGACAAAGAACACATTTTAAATGCAGATGATTCCATGCAATAAATTAAAGGTTTATGAAAGGCAATGATTTTCTTTTTTGTTGAAAACAGTTTCTAATACTTTTTATTTGGTTGTTTTGCAGTTAAAAAATCTGAGTTTAGAAGAATTACAGATGAGACTAAAGGCTTTGGACCCTATGATGGAACGAGAAATTGAGGAGCTTCGTCAGAGGTACACTGCAAAGAGGCAACCTATCCTAGATGCGATGGATGCGAAGAAACGGAGGCAGCAAAATTTCTGAGTTTGTTTTCCTTTCAAACATAATACTAGGAGTCAGTATGGACACTGGTAACTTTGTAAGCCAGAAGGAATTTGATTATGAGAGTTTTAAAAAATCCAATCTGTTAAATTTTCCTTCATCAGCAGCGACAATTGCAGCACTCAAGAATATTCATATGGTGTTCTGCAAAGGCAGCAAAACACTTTAGCACTTGTTTGCATTTTCAGATGTTTAATGTAATAGGAGTTTAATCTGTTACTTCCCAATCTTTTTCAGGTGGGTAGGGATAACTTGGTGTTGTACATTGGGAGTTGTGTTTTGGAGCACCTGGAATGTTTTCTTGATTGTGCAACACTACCGAGCCTTATATTGCAATGTATTTTTCTCCCACATAGTAGCATATTTATTATGTAATCTTTGGCTATCTTATTTATTTTATGCCTGTTTTCTGTTGGGAGGTATTAGGATAACACTGTGGAGAGCAGAGTCAAATTAGATAAACTTGCTATTGTAGTATAATGAAAAGCTGCTCACCACTGTAGTATCTTTTAAAACTCCAAATTCAACACATAACCTGATTCAGGACAGCACTTGAACATGTATCCAGCCCATTCATAGCAGTAAAATTTAGGAATAAAGTAAGTAATAGGCACGTCTTTTTCTGCTCTCCTGAATCAGGGACTGTTGTACAGTACAGTTGTTACACTACAGAGCATTCTTTGAGAGAGGATTTCTGTCATTTGTACGCACACTGAGTCAGCTGTCATTAAACAAGAAAACAAGTGCCTAATCAGTTTTAATTTTTGTTATTCAGGAGAAGCAATACTTACAGTCACTCCTTAAGTGTAAACTTCCAATTGCTATTGCAATTCTGACCAGTATAAACCTCTATTTTGCACGGTAGTTTTATAATGAAGTAACAGCTACACTTTCTGGATATGTTTTTTGTTTCATTTGGGGTTTTTTTAATCACTGTTTTGAGGGGAGAGGGGAATTATTAGTGCTTTGGGGTTTGTTTGTTTTCATATTGTAGCTACAAAGGGATAGTAATTTAAAAACCAAAGAAAATGAATTGAATACTTATATTTAATAAGTACAGAAAAGAAGCAACATTTAATAGTTTTCTGGGGGGTTTGTCCTGCAACTGCTAAACATTCAAAATTCCTATAGTCTTCTGTTGGTAGATTTTGGGGACTCAGAAATGCAGGACCAAGCTCTTAATAGCTTTTTATAAGTTCTTGTCTGGTTTATGTTGTTGACTATCTATTGGTAGAATTTACAATGTTGTAAGAAATATTTCAGACTTCGCAGAAAATGTGATCCACTCTCTAAACAATCTGCTGTGTTCTGTATTGAAATCTTTACTATCGTTGCCTTGTATGTAAATAACTTCACTGTGATAGTCATACTTCTTTAAACAATACAGCTGAAAAGATCTTTACATTCAGCCTTCAGCTGTTAAACTTTTAATGGTGACTACTGTATGGGCATCTTCTGTTAAACGTTTTCTGGAAGTTAGTAATCATCTCATACCTCTTAACATTAATTGTCAACATATGTGGACCATTTAGATGGAATAGTGCCAATTTTGGAAATGATGCATTATGTCACAAAGCTTATGCCAATGGAAACAAAAAGTTCTTAGAGGATCAGCATTCTACAGCCATGCTGGTACCAGTGCTTGGGTTTGAGCTGTATCCAGCCATCGCTGTCCTTGTCATTCTCTGTGTGTTTGCATGCACACCACGCTCTGACATGTAAACCCTAGAGGCAAATAAATCTTAATTGTGATTATTAGAACGTCCTTATCCTCAACTCTCTTCATACTTCTTAGAGCAGTGACCATTCCTTGTGAAAATGCAAGAACACAGAAGATCCATAAAAATTACTTTAGGCAAGATAAAATGCACCTGGTAGTCCTATGCCTCACATTTATACAACTAAATGATGTAAAGTAAAAAATGGTATAAACATATCACTGTGTCATTAGATTATAATCATAATGCAGGAAAAAAATAACAGCATCAACTTCCCCCTATTACTGTGGTTCTTATTTATTTAAAGTAATTTCTACTTCTTGAACTTTCTGTTCTCAAAAGCTCAAAGATGTGTGTTCATACATTGATTTGTGTAGATATACACACATATATATTCATATCTATATATATAAAAGAGAAAATATAGAGCAGGTTTAAACCATCAGGAGAGGAGCCTAGCTTGCCTTTTCTTGGTGTGCCTTTTAAGCAAAGTATCATTGTCTAGACACTCCTACTTGCATTTTCAGCAGCTAGATTTTCCCTTACTCAAACTTTTCCCACCAAAAATAAAACTTTGAGTTTGAATAATGTGGCTTTACAGTGTAATAGACAAGAATATAACAGGATCACAAATTTCTTATTTTGTGTATTTTGAAAACTTCAGTAATGTGGTACCCCAAAGATGAACTGGGAAGTCCGTGGGGACTCCAATAAAAGGCTATTTTAGACTAGAGCTGTTGCAGTCTGACATCTGAAAGCTATCAGAAGGTAAATGACATCCTTTTTTTCTATCCTGATATGTCTACATAGAAACAACTCAGACTTTGTGCACATGCATGCACACAGAAATGGAATATACATGCATGAGGAAAATCTGAATGGCGTGAATAAAACAAATAAAACAAGCTACTGAAAAGGGTGAAAAGTAGCATCTGATGCACTGTAAACTGGGTAGGTACAGGATGTTTGTGACCAAAGAATACTTTCATAAATTAATATGAAATTGGTATGTTGCCATTCTGGTATGGTGCAAACTGCAGTCAGTGTAAGAGCTGCCTTGGGCTTCAGCAGCCAGCATAGGAACCTCTGGATCCTCTGCAAGCACTGACATTGTGCTCAGAGATGGATGCAACTCATTTTTTCTTTCCTCTGTTTGTACAAATGAATCAAATCATCCATGTTGTTGACTACACATCTCTACTGGAGGATGAGCATCTCTATGAAGGAAAACCAATAGAACAATAAATAAGATATTTTAAAAGCAAGCCTTGCAGGAAATCTAATAGAACTACTGACAAGTTAACCTTCAATAGGATTTTAACCAAGCAATTTCTTGTTTGCTTCTGACTTTGTATGTTTAGGTTTAGTAAGTTAAAACAATTTTGGAAAATCATTGCTTATTACTAAACATTTTTAATAAAAGCTAATTTTTCCTGTATAATTGTTGACTTCTTCATTCTAACTGAAGCAAAATGATCTTAATAATAATCATTAATGTTCATTTCCGTAGTCATCCCTCATGCTTTGTTTCCTTTCTGTAACACTGTGAGCACAGAAACCCACGTCTCTCAAAGTCAGCTCTGGAAAGGATTTTTCCAGATCACAACAGTGCTGCAAGAACTAGAAGTCTGAGGATCCCATGAAAATGGATCAGGCCAGAAATCCTCAGTTCTCTGTGGAAGTCTTCTCTCTGCAATCTGATGTTGCTGAAGGCCTAATCCTGAGACAGCTGGGCATCACTCAAATATCTTGGCTGTCTTCCTAAACTTGGAGGTGCTAGTGCACATAAGGGGTATGAGTTGTTCCTTTGTTGTTCTCATGACACTAGAAAACCAGTAGGCAATTGATAGACTTGAGTAGAAAAGTGGCTACATTTAATGTCTGGAATATAATTCTATTACCTGTTTCTTCTGACTTTTTAAAATTATTCTCTTAATAACTTGCCCACAAATACATTTCAGTAAAAGGAACTCATGACTGATGCTCCTTAGTAAACCCCGGGGTGTTTGAAGTCACAAAAATTTGATGCTAATCTGAATTAATCTGACGTTTATTGGATATTGTAATTATTTACTACTTTTTTTACAGCAAAAAATAGCTTGTCTGCATTGCACAGTGTATTTTGATGAGCATGCACAGTGGCTTTGGGCTGCTTCTCTATTCAGTGTGTTCAAATTTCAGATATAATTATGGCTCATGGTGAGTGAATCCCTGCCCAGGGATACATGGGATAGCCTGACTCACCATGGAAAGGCACTGGTGCTTCCAAGCAGAATGTGTACTGTACAACTTCTGTGAAGCACTTGCTCTGCATATGGCTCTATCAGTGTGGTATGCTGAGGGTTACTCTTTCTTAAGTGTATACCTGGTTATAAAGCTCATCAGAAAGACCTCATGAAGTAAGAAAGTCTTTATTTCTTTGCATTCTTAAATATGTGAAAGTTCTTCAATTGGAGTCCAGCTTACAGTGACATTTCTTTCTGTCTTTCCAAAGGCAGTGATGCATGTTAAATAATTTAGCTTGAAATAGATCCAAGATTATCGAGTCCAGTGTTAACCCAGCCCTGCAAACTCCACACTAAACCATGGCCCTCAGTGCAGCATCCACATGTCTTCAATACATCCAGGGATAGTGACACCACCACTTCCCTGGGCAGCTGTTCCAGTGCCTGACAATCTTTTCAGTGAAGAATTTTTTCCCAGTACCAAATTAAGACCTGCCCTGGTGCAATTTGAGGCTGTGTCATGCAGCTGGCTGGGAAATTTGCTGTGGGATATTTCCGTGCCAGGCTGTGATGCAGCAGTGCTATGCCCACTATTGACAACGAAAGCCTTGGACACATCCTGCATAGCCCATGTTGTTTCTCATGATTGTGTTGTGCCAAATGGATATTAATAAGCCAATTAATAGCTTAAGCTTTTTGGAGCAAGCCTAATTACGTTGATGGCTTAGTGTGAAGTTATTAAGTTGCATTTGTGAAATACTTTTTCACAAAATGTGTTTCTACTCTTTGTTCAGTGCATTCATTCTGGAAAGGGCCTATCTTTTACATGGTGTGCTCTCATCCATTTTGATTTGGTTTAATTTCTTAGCATTTTTAAAGTATATGTGAAAATTCCCCATATTTTCCTCCTTCTCTTCCTCCTGCTAAGGAAAATGAATGTGGGCATTACTTTTTAGGAGCATCCCCTGAGCCAAGTGTCCTTTGCACATAGTGGGCACATGCAGATGTCAGCAAGAGCTTTTATTCTCTTTTTCTATTCAGAGATCACGGAAGTCTCAGCTGTCCTGTTTTTTCTTTTTTTGAAAGGATGGGATGTTCAGATTCTGAGCAAATCTTTCAGAATAATTGTTAGTCCCAGACCAACAGATGCTTTATACTTTTTTCCATTATTTGCTACACAGTCCTCAGGACAGATTCACACTTCATTTCACTAGGCCTTCAGAGAGTCGTCTGCATTGGAGAAGAGTAGTGTTTGTCACAGAAACAGGAAAAAAGAAACAATTTTTAAAAGTTTTCTTTGGGGAGAGAAGAAAAAGAATATGGCATCTGCAGGTGGCCAGGTGGCTTATGAGGCTAACTGTGGATGTGAGGAAAAATGTGTTGGCTGAAAAAAGCAAATCAGGTAGTCATCTGTACAACTTACTGCTCTGTGTTGATGTTTCACATCTGATTTTCTTCCATTAATGTTTATTGTCTTCGATGTTCATGCTTTATTCATCCTTTAAAGATAGAAGTTTTAAATTTTTTTAAGCTTTATATAAATGGAAACATACCATAACAGTGCCAAGTAAATAAAAATGAAAAAGAACCTAATCAAAGTCACCAAAGTGGGGGTGTTTTCTCCTCCTTTCTTTGGGGTTACAGACGTTTCTGATGGCAGACGTTTGTCTGTGCATGGAGAGACTTTGCATGCTCCAGCTCTGGGCAGACATAGATGGAGATGGTTTCATTGGAGGGCTGGCTGAGCTGTGCCCCTGCTCAGGATGTCCTGTAAGTGTTGTGCCCTGCTGGAAGCCGCTGCTGTCCCCCTGCTCCTCTCCCTGCCGGCCGTGCTGCAGGCACTGGGGCTCCTGCAGAGCGCGAGGAACCAGCCCACGGCAGGGAGCCCTGCTCTGCGCAGAGAGCAGTGGGAGCCTGGGAGCTGTTGATCCCCAGCAGGGCAGCACTGAGCTCAAATCAATGCCTGTGGTCTGGGAATCCTTGGAGGAGCCAGCTGTTACCTCAGGGACAAAGCCATGCTGTGGTGGCAAACAGTTTCTGATGCTGCTTTACTTGGTTGACTGGACTGCAGCATGGCCCATGGCCTTTGGGAAAAATAAAGTTCCTTGTGTCTATTTTTTATTGATGTACAAAAAATATTTAGGAAGTGATCTCAGTGCAGTGGAAGAGTTCAGCTAACAACCTCTCCATGCCCTGTGCCAGGACCTACCTTAGTGCATCAGCACTTTTCCTCAGCCTCCCAAGTTCCTACTGTGGGTGCTGGCTTTAGCTTTGCCAGAAGTGATGGTGTGAGCAGGAATTTTTCATGTGCTGTTGGCAAACAGCCAGAGTTCTTGCCTGGTGCTGGTACTTGTTTGGTGCAAACAGGCCTTTCTAAAGGCCACAGAAAATTCAGAGGGGTTAAACTGGGCGCTAAGTAGGGAGCTGCCCAGGCAGCAAGAAGACACTGGAAGGAATTAAAACTGTAATCTGATTCTGGGCTCAAATAGATTTTCTCTCTGTCACAATGTGGGGAAACATTATTGGCATTCACCATTTACCATGGCACTGCAAAGCCCAGCAGCCTTTAAAATTTTTCCTTTAGGTATCACAGCTACAGAAATTAAATTTGTAAATATACATGGCCACATGCTAATGTACCTGCATATATTTTCCTCTGTCAAATTAATTAGGCCACATGTTGTTTACTAAAAACTGGTTTTCTCTCTTTGTGGATATTTCTTCTGAGGACAGATATTGCAGTATCTCTCCCTAGCTTCTCCCAGAGAAAAGCTCAGCCCTCCCAGTCCTGTTTCACTGCCCTGTACAGTATTTGGAGCTGACCAGTATAATTCTCACAGCTGTTCCTTTGCTGCATACAGGTGTGCCCAGAAACAAGCACCCTACCCCCGCATTCCTCCTTTCATTCCCTCGGTGCTACTGGAAGGATTGATGCATGAGAAGGTGGCTGTGGCCCTCAGATGTTTCTAGCACTATTTCTTTTCCCCTATTCAGATCTTTCTGCTGCTTTGCACTCCTCCTGGCTCCCAAGGCCTGCATGGTTGCTGTTAAAAAAAGCCTCACAGCAAATACATCAAAGAGGGATACCAAAAGCTTTTGAGTTGATTTATATGACACTAAGCCTTTTGTGTGATGCATCAATTGATATTTCATTTTTATTGCAGTACAGTGGGGTATATGGGCTTAACAGCAAGAGGTGTCCTTTTGATCTCTCATCGCACATGAAAACAGGTGTCATAGTCCAGAGATTATGGAGGTCAGAGATTATTTGAGGAAGGATTAAGTAGCAGTACATTTTTCATAGCAACCATATCCAAAAGCATGAGATTCTTTTAAAAGTGCAGCTGTTATTTCAGTCTAGATAAGTCGTATTTATTTGTCATATACCAATTTTTCCTGCTGAAAGAAGACTAGAATTTTTCGAAGTGTTTTGTATTAAAAATGCAGAAACAAGTCAAATGCTTCACTTGTAAGTACAATTAATAAAATAACTTTTCCTGAAATCCAGAAGAAATTTTGCGTTGCTTTTCCTGTTAGTTGATCTTTAGAGAAAATGGACTTGAGACTGTTCAGAAGATAATGGGGTGACTGTATTAATGTTCAGCACTGCACCAATTTATATACACATACAATTGCTTAGTCTAAATCTGATTTACCTCAGAAAGTTAACAGAATTCTCTGATGTGATGAGTACTGGTTCAGTATTTCAATAAATTTTCAATAAATACAACTGAAATATTGCTCTGACTCATTCCAAGAGTCTCTCATTCCATTAGAAACTCTAAAACAACCAAAAGCAATTTGGTAACCCACTATAGGTATGTGGGTATCTCTCCTGCTAAGGAAACACATCCACCACTTATTGCTCAGCTTTTATAAAAATAGATTTGTTTTTGAGGCTGTTTACATTCCACAATGTAATGTGGATAAAATCAATAGCAATAGCGTTGTATTAGATTCAACAAACCCAAGAAGCCTGTTTCTTCCAGTTAGTGTAATTATAATTTTGTTGACAAGCAGATGTTTAAACAGCCCCCAAATATGTAATTATTAGAATAAGTAAGGAATTGAGGATCTCTAGGATGATAGGACCAGCAATACAGTAATCCTGCATCCCAAATTTTAATGCAAATTTATTCCAAGAATAAGTATAATTTTGAAGCCTTTTAAGTGTAGCTAGTGCTGATTTATTCAGTCCATCAACTGACATCAGTTTATACATCTCATAGCACTTGTCTTCAGTTACTGCCTCCACAAAAACCTCAACAGTTTGGTCCTATCTTTCAGCTAGAGTAGGAGAAAGTCTTATTTGCACAGTGTTTGACTAATGTGAACTGTTTAGTTCAGCTCTTTGCTCTAGCACGAGGAGCAACCATTCAGGCTTTTTTAGAAGAACCGGTGCTGCATTTCTGAGCTGTCTCCCAGCTTCTGTCCTGATCAGTGGGTCGAGGCTGCTCGGGGCTGAATGGGCAGCTGCTGTGTTCCCTCATCACAGCAAGTGACAGAACCTGCATGGCCTTACCTCCCCAGGATTGTGCAGCTGCCAGCCTCGTGTTGGGAGTGCCATGCTGTGACCCAGTGAGGATATGTCTAACACTCCTGGCTGTGTGTAGAAATTTGAAGTTGAAACATTGGGAAGGTGGGCTCTGACTTTTGGTCCAGATCTCTAAATGAGACCATGCAAGACATGACTGCCCTGTGCACTTTGCAAGGAAAGAATTGGAACACTGTTCAGTTGCAGCTTTGTTTTCCCTTCAGGTTTGTTCTTCTCTGGGCTGCATTGTATTAATGCTTTATTTTAAAAGCTCAGAACAGAAACAGACTAACTTTTCATTCCCTATGGCTTTCCTCTCATCTTCTCTGGGAAGATGAAAAGATGCACTTTGCTTTATAATACTGGTTTCTCAGGATGGAAAATTGTCAGGTGTTTTGTTTCAGGTATCATTAACTGTCTAGCAAAGACTTTTTCTTCTGTATTCTTGGTATGTCTAGACTGACCTTTCTCTGAATCTAAAGGGATTCCCAAGGAAATCAAATGCACCTGTCACCTCTGTTCCTTTCCCAGCATGTTAAATTGTTTTGGTGCTCTGGGGCTCCTGCTGAGTGTGAGGAAGCATATTTGTTTTTCTCTGTGCTGGTGGATGGGCCAGTGCTGTGTTACTCTGCCTCACATGAGGCAGAATCCTTTGTGCTCTCCAGCAGTGCACTGATAGCACTGGGGAGAGCACCAGTACAGTTCCAATTTGGGGAATTTGAGAGCCAGGAGTGGGGCTGCCCTCATCAATGTATAAGGAAGGCCCAAGCATTTTTGCCATCAAAAGCATAAGCAAAATTTCCCTATATTTATAAAGCATTTCCAATACTGCAGCTGAGATGTCCCTTGCAAAAATCAACAGTCAGGCCTGGTAGTTCACTTGCCAGGCTGAGGAAGGAAGGATTGGAGAAGGAGCTGCATCCTGACTTTGGCTGGTTGAGATGTCCCTGTTGTGGGGCCTGCCTTGCCTCTCTGCTGACCCTGCAAGAGAGGGGGAGACACAAAAGGTGAGTAGGATGGGGATAAGCCACTCTTCTGGAAGGTGCTTGCAAGTGGCATCACCTCTTCCCTGCTTTCAGCTGTCTTCTTCAGAGCATGCTCCCACAGGGAATGCTGAGAACAGCTCACCAAAGAAAAATACATCCAGGGCTTCTTCCTTCAATAGGGAAGGGATCAAAATGTTAAAAAATGATCATGCCAACTATGGCAGTAGGAAGGTGTGCCTTGGTATGGAAAGAAGAATGAAATAACAGGGAGAGTAGATTTTTCCCAAAAGTAAACCACAATTTTCTGCCATACTTGGAAAACCTAACACAGGGAGGTGCTAGCCCATAGTCTGACATGCCTAGGCACTGATACAATGGAAATAAATTAGAATTTACCTGATGGTAATCAAATGGATCTTCCTTAATGGGGCTATGGTAGGGTGTCAGTATTCAGAACATTTCCTAGAATGGGATGGAACATGAATTTCAAAAACAGCATAGTAATTTGAAAGGATAATTTCTACTGAAAGTTAGTGGGATTGATGTTCCTAATTCAGGAACTCCAAACCCCCATTTTGCTGTGTTACAACCCCAGCACATCACTTTTTCTCATATGTCATGGAGGCTGCAGGAATAGCCTCATCAGGCTATGGCAGACAGAGAGGGTGAAGCAGGAGGTACAGGACTTGGGATGGGCAGCACAGCAGCTGCTGGCAAGCAAACTCAGCTGCTGTGTGAGTACCACTCATCTTCCAAGTAAGATGAAGAGTTTTCTTTGAAAGTCAACAGCATCATCAGTGGAATTGTCTGCTCAAAGCTACACAGACTTTTGCACCACACAGAACATCTGTACATTGGGTGACAACAAGCAGATGTTGGACCGTGTATCTGAAAATGGGCAGCTCTTGGGCTGCTTTAGATCTGTAGAAGGAATTGTCAGATTTATAGCAGTCTTTGTCCAATTCCTGAAAACTTAGCCCTGTTTATATCTGAACAGGGATTTGTGAGAAGCCAGAGCCCATTAGTACCCTTAAAGAAAAAAAGCAAGAGTGGGAGGTGCTGATGTTTCTTTGCACTTCTGTGAAGCTGAAATGCTGGATTTGTGCCACTGCCTCTTATGGCAAATTCATGTGTTTATTCAAGTGAGGACTTACATGATTTAGGGTTGTGTGTAAAGGGTGAGGCGATGTCAGGCAAACAAATTTCTGCAGTGGGAGGTCAGCGTGAGTCCCAACACCTGCAAGATGATTCTCCATCCTCATTTCCAGCAGGGCAAATAAATTCCAGAGCCAGACCTTTGCCAGCAGTGTCATGTGATCTTGGGAAACACTTTCTAGACTGTTTGGAGGTTGCTTCCTCCACTTGACAACTCGTAATTTTATATCTGAGGGGTGAAGAGATCCACAATTTTTAATGAGAGTTATGTTTCTTAGCAGCTTCAGTGATTGCTCTGTGGAACTGTTGCTTTGAATAATGTATTACCCATTGCTCTATTTTTAACCCCGTAAATTATTCTCAGATGAGAAGCAAAATATTTTTTTTCAGTAAAAAGGCAGAATCAGTAAAAAATGCTTCAGAAATCAGATGGGAACATTCTTTTATCCTGTCTGAATAGTGTGCAACTTGAAAGTTAGTTACAGGAGATCAAATTAATTTCTGATGTAACTTAATGGGAAGCCAGGTGCATAAATTGGAAAAGAAAATAAGAATAACATAATGAGAAAAGAACATTTCTGGCACAACACCTCACCAAGGGATATGACTGGTGCCTTGGGTTGAATGTTGTTTGAAAGCACCATCAAAGGTAGATTAAAGTCAGGAGCATTGTGGGAGGAAATGGATAACCAGCACAGCAGGAGCAGTTACTCCAGGGGCTTTCTGCTGCTTATATGTGCACAGCTGGGGCCTCTAGGGATGGGGCTTATTTTGGAAGAGATGAAAGGTCGTGTCAAGTTGATTTAGTGCCTACAAATGCTGCTGGTATGTTGTTTAGTCCCTAATCTGTCAGGTAGAGAACAAGAGGCTTGTACTGTTTGTTCAACTGAAAAATGTGGGTTCCCCACCACAACCACCAATTAAGAGCATTTCTAAGAATAGAAATCTAGCCTGATGTGCATGTTTAAAAAAACTTATCTGCACAATGAGACTCAGGCTTCTCTGATTATAATATTTACTCAGAATGTCCTGAAACTTAAATCAGTTTTAGATCTCTGGTAAAAGATAATTTTTTATGCATTTAATTTCCTTTTCGTGGCACAAAACTGAGTTATTTAGTGCATTACACACTACTGGGACAAGACACACAGTACAAAGAGCACCAAATACACTAGTTCCTTGCAGTCTTGTAAAGTTCTATACAAAAAGGTACAAATACTGGAGGTAATAAATTTGGAAAACTAAATGCAAAGTTTTTTGGTTTTAAGTTTGCAGTGTGAAGTGGCCCATGCTCTATATAACATGGGAGGAAAAACCAGTCTGTTTTCAAAATGGAAAGTCTGCAGGGAAAGAGAGAATTAGCAACTGATGAAAGCAAATGAGTAATAAACCAGGCAATAATACAAAATCTGAACATACATAAAAAGCTTAATCACAAGCTATATATAGATTTTACATCTCAGGAACATAATGTAACATTTTGCTTTTCAAGGGCATCTCTGACTCTCATAATACCCTAGATTTGTACTAGAAATCCAGATTCTCTAACAGTTTATTCTTTGCAATAAAGTGAGTTACCTCATTTGAAATATTACCACAATTCTCATTTAAATGATACAAAGCTCTCAGAGGAAAGGGAGTAGGCACAGCATTTCCACTGGTGCCACAAAGGTGACTGTCACAGGCAGGAGGAGCACAGGCTCCTGCAATGTTCTTCAGAAAACTGCACATCCATACTGAGCAGATTCCTGACCAGCTCTGGACAAAGTAGCCAGTTAGTGCTCTCATCCTTCAGTCCTGACCCAGTGGTGTGTGGCAGTGCAGATGCCCTGCTCTCACACAGCAGTGAGTGAGGAAATCTGGCAAAAGTACTGACTGTGCAAAAAGTCTCTTCCCCCCTGTGAAGCTTTGGAGAGATTGCATTTTTTCTTCAAAGTGTAAAGTAAACATTTTCCTGTAGCTTTTATTAAATGAGAGGTAAGTTTTTGCAGCACTTACTGCACTGAGCCCTAGAATAGACATTACTTCATAAAATGGCAGGAAAGATGTGCCCTGTTCTCCTTACCTAGATATTTTGGGGGCAGCTAAGACAGCAATGTTTCTGAAATCATTAAATTGTTATTCTGCTCAGTAAAAAATTCTGTTAGCCATAAGCAAATATTAAAACTGCTGTACAGTACTGTCCAATGCTCAAACATAATAAATCTGAGCAGGAGTAATGCAAAAAAAGGGCTACATCCCCTAGTGTGGCCAGGAGAACAGGACTTGCAAAAAGAAAACTAAAAGGAAGCTTGAGAGGTATAAACCTGTGAAAATGCGTATGTAAGGCCATATGGTTGCTGTCTATAAATACACTAAGAGGAAAATGAAATTTTTAAGCTAAAGAACAGTGTTGGCAAAAAAAAAATACTGGTATAAAGCAGCCATTAATAAAATTGTGCTAAAAGTTGTGCAAGCCTTGGAGAGCTCTGGAATGGTCTTCAGGAGGAGGGGGGAGCAAAAATGTGACTACTTTTAACATGGAGTCAGTTAAGTTTATGAAAGGAATTCCTGTGCACTGTGTAAAGTAATTGCCATGATAATAAGAACATCTTAAATTTCAGTACTTTATTTATTTAGTGTCTTTGATCAAAAGCACTTATATAAAAATGCAATAATGAAAATTCCTTTCAACCAGTACAATAAAAGTTGGAATTCCTTGGGTATTTCATTTTCTTTAGTGAAATGCAATTTGAACATGTTACAGTGAATATTTGCAGAAATGACGGAACATCAGTCCTACAAATAATAATAAATCTAGAACATAAGATAAGCTATAGGTTATTGAAATGATGTGTTGCAAAGTTAAATCCAACCTTTGCAATGTTTAACAAGCAACAGCTGAGGGAATTTGTGGCTCTTTGGCAAGCCTACAGGGCTCACCAAATAACTGCTCTCAAAGTCTCCGGTTTTCAGCTCTGTAAATCTACTGTTTATTAAACTGAGGTAAAACCACTGCCTGGAGCTGAGTTCTCCAAAAGCCCCACCCAACAGACAGAGTTTGGGGTGTCCTTTGCATCAGTGAGAGAATTGCAAACCTTGCAGCAGGTAACCTGACTGGAGGGTATGTGCTGCCCATGCCCACCTCTTCCTCCCCTTGTTTCTTTCTTCGTGTCTCAGTTCCAGGGGTGACCTCATGCTGCTCCGTGTGTCAGGTGGCTGATTGTGGGTGTGCACATGTGCAGTATGAATCAGGGACAGGAATGCTGAATTTATGCCTGAATTTATGCTGAATTTATCCATTTCTACAGAAATGGAATTGAACCGGCCCTATCCAGCAGTGTAAACCTTAGCAAAATGTTTCAAGTTTGGTCACCAAATTCAGGTTATCCAGGTGTACCTTCAGGACCACGTGTATGACACTTTCAGTCTCAGGGACAGCAAGCAATGGCTTGCCAACTGACTTATAACTTGTGCAGGCTCTGTTGGAAATTGGTAAGGTTGGAAATGACCTTTTCCCCCTCACACTTCATGGCCTAAATCAGCTACTGATGTGAGGGGAGGGTGTCCAACAGAAATGGTGGTGGGGGGAGAGTAAGTTATTTCACACTGTGTATTCTGTCATGGATCACTGGGCAAACAGAAATGTGATCCTGGGTGCTCAGCTTTCTGTTTTTTACGTGGAGCTGATACAGCATCAAAGGATCCAGAACAAGATGCAACCTCTAATAGCCTTAATGAGGCAATTACCTATTCATACCATATTTGCTTTATTTTGTTGGTTGAGCCACCCTTTGTCATGGTTTAAAAACACAGTCTTCCAAAAAGACAATTTCAGCTTTAGTATTTTTTCTTCTAACTAGATTGAATTTAATTTCTGCACCTCTCTAGTCTTCACAAGTAAAACTAACAAAAAATTAATTGGAACGTTATATGTAATGAATGGGATGGAAAAGCAGTAGGATCTGAAGAGAAATGCTGTTCTGCCCACTGAGTGCCAGTAGTTTGTTTTCTAGCACAGATGTAAAAAGAGGGCAGCAGTGCCTTCTGCCTGTTGACTACAAGTGTTTGATCTCTGTACAATTGCGTAAGGGAGGAGACTGAGCACTCAAAAACCAACTCTATGCAGATTCATTATTACTCTTGAAATTGCATATGATCTGTTCTCTCGTGTTTTGTTTTGTTTTTTTAAACAAGTACATGCCAGCCCTTGAAAGGATTAAAATTGACTACATCACAGAAGTAGGTAGGAGGATCTACCCACAGATAGTGCAGTATTAAGCTCTTTATCTGTTCCCTTCTTAGGCCCTTAGACTCTCCCTTAGCTGTAAATTGAGAATTTCTTTCTGAGTGAAAATGGTTTTTTGCTTAGAGATTCCTTGGCAGAAATTTTAATGGAATTGTCTGTCATCAACACCTGCTTTCAAGCTTTACCGATAAAATTAGATTTTATATCTCAGCATCACATATGGCATCTTTATAATTAGTCTTTTTGCAGTATATGAATGTCAGTTCCTAAAATGCTGCCTGTACTGTTCATGTGGGAATATTTCACTTCATTAATCAAATCCAAGTTTTTCATTGGTGCTTCGAATTGTTTAAAGCCCACATCTTCATATGTCTAATCTCAACACCTTTTTGATGGACTGATACAACACATTTGCAGCTGCACTGGGACCAAGCTGTGAGCAGATCCCTTCTGGAAATGGGATTCTAGAGCTCTAGATGGGCCTCCATTCCTGAAGTCACTTGTGGAAATGTAGTCTTTGAATATGTAGCTATCTGAAAATGAGGGGTGGCCTTTTTTAGAGGGCTCAGTATTGATCTAATCTTGGAAACAGAGGAAGGTCTATGCCCAGAAGATTCTGAAAAATATTATTATACATAACATTTCAGAACAAGAACACACAGATTTTAACACACATTCTCAAGAATAAGCAAACTCAGAGGTGTTTTCAGGCAAGTGATGATCAGAATCACTGGTCAGTAATATAGGTAGAAGTGTTGCATGTCAGTGACTCACAGGTGGCTGTTTCAAACCATTGTAAAATGCATGGGAAGTCTTATACTAGTACAGACACCAGTATAGGTGATAGGTGATTTTTTCATTACTCATGTCACAGCTGAGAATTTTTATTCCACTTGGGTACATTCATTTCTCTGCTCATATGAGAAAATGCACAAAGCAACAGATCATCACTATACCACTAGTAGTAATGGCATGAAAGTGGTAACATTTGTATGGAAAAGTCAGCACTCAGTACTCTTATGCAACAAGATGAAAATGTGCAAACTGTTAACTTGTAATAGAAATGTCTTTAGTTTCTCAAGTGCAAAGTGCAGTGTCAGCAACACCATCTTCTAGGGGAAAAAAAAAAGACAAATAGGAAAACATTTATAAACAGCTCTTGATAGCTCTCATGCAAACTGCTGTCAGACTCGTACACTAATGCAGTGAATCATTCAGGCTCAGCTCACTGGGGGTACTCCTGCTCATATTGGTCAGGCTGGCCATAAGGGATTTAACTTTATAAGCATAGTAGTCCCTTAAGTTGACAGATGGAACTTCTTTCATGCCATCACCAAAATCACAGCTTCTCATGGCACTCTCTAACTGCTTCTGACGCCTATAGAAGTGGGAGAATTTATTAAAGATCAGTGTAATGGGAAGCACTACCACTAGGATACCAGCTAGGATGCATGCAGATGCCGTCAGCTTGCCAGCAGTGCTCCCTGGCACCACGTCCCCGTAGCCAACTGTGGTCATGCTAACAGTAGCCCACCACCAACAAGCAGGGATGGTGGCTAACCCCTCATTGTCTTCTTTCTCAATAGTGTAAGCCACTACAGAGAAAATGGAGATGCCCACAGAGAGGTAGAGTAAAAGAAGCCCCACCTCTCTGTAGCTGTACTTCAGAGTGGCTCCAAGAGACCTGAGACCTGTGGAGTGTCTGGCAAGCTTTAATATGCGGAAAATCCTCATGAGTCTCAGGACTTGTGCAACTCTGCCTAAATTTGCTAAAGTCGGACTACTTTCCACCACCAAGTTGACAATTAATGTAATATAAAATGGAAGGATAGACATTAGGTCAATCAAATTCAGGGCATGCTTGAAAAATTTTAAAAAGTCAGGAGCTACTGCAAATCTTGCCACCAGTTCAAAAGTGAACCATGCAATACCAAAATGTTCCACGATTTCAAAGCGAGGGTCTTCCTCGGTGTTCCCGTTGCTGTCAACAATCTGGAAGTCTGGGAGGCTGTTCAGGCACATGGTCACAATGGAGCCCAACACCACCACTATGGAAAGGACGCTGAAGATACGGCTTAAAACCGAGTACCCAGGATTATCCAAAGCAAGCCAGAGCTGCCTCCTGATGTTTCCAAAGGGCTGTTTGTCAAATTTAGAGGCATCATTGTAGAATGCCAAAATCTCATCAAAAGAAGATGTCGTACTTTCCTGGTCACTTTGTTCCTCCCATTTCTCTTGGTCTGGCTCCATTTTCCTCCCATGGTAGCTATAACTGCAGCAGGAGTCTATAAAGAATTCATTGATTCCCCAGTATTCAATCTCTTGGCTGAAAGAAAAGACACAGAGTTCACCCATCACATGGAGCTTGCCAGTGTTATAAAAATGTAGCACATAAGGAAAGAGCTCGGGGTTCCTGTCAAAATAAAATTCATTCTTGGTGTCATCATAGTCATCACAAAGCTCCAGTATTGACTCCTTTGAATGGCAGCTCAGCAATTTGCCCAGCCTGGTCTCGGGGAACCTTAATAATGTGTTGGATCTCATCTTTTTCTTGAAGCCTCCAACGTTGATGCTGATCTCATTGTCTTCAAAATTTGCTTCAGATAAAGTCCTCAGACTCTGCCCTGTCATAGTGAGCTCCTTCCAAAGGTGGGTAGGGAATGAAAACCTAGGATTCAATTACACAGAAAGTTGGCAAAATGAACAAATCTACAGCATGTTCACCTACTGATGTTTCATGATCTTTCTTTTCTTTTTCTCTTCTTTCTTTTCTCTCTCTCTCTCTCTCCTTCTCTCCTTTCCTTCTCCCCCCTTTTCTCTCTTTTCTCCCTGTTCACTCACTTTCCCTCCCTTTTTCTCCCTCTGCCCCCGTTTCTCCCCTTTTCCCTCTTTTCTTTTCTCCCACGCCCCAGCGAAGACCTTGAGGGAGGCTCCTTTGTTCCCGCGGCATGCTCCTGTCCCTCCCCTCGCCCTTCACCTGGGCTGCGGCTGTCGCTCCCCCCGAGCCCCCGTTACTCACGGCCTTTGTGCCACCGGGGCGGCGCGGACCTTTCATTCCCTCCCGGCC